GAATCAAACACATCTACAGTCAAACCCTCATAAAAGACGCCACCATTTGTCCAGAGCAATTTTGGCTGTTTAAAGGGGTTGGCGGTTCATCAAATGCTGTATTTCATTTAAAATTACTTGATGAAAAATGCTTGATTTTCCTCCAAAAAGTTATAGAGATACAGTGAGACCCCAAGATGTGGGCATAATTAAGGCATCAAGAGTGTCCCTAAGTTTAATTGTACCTGAGTCTAGTCTTGTTTTCCCATAGACTTACATTATATAATTTTTAATTGGTGTTTTATGGAAGGAATATTCTTAAGAATTCCCTGAATTAAAATTGTTTGCCACTTGAATTTGAATTAGTGAATACATTTTCAACTGGATAAGAACATTATTGGGGCATCAAATATAGTGCATCTCTGTACTGTACATTGAAATGTTGGCATATACAAAAATAACAACAAGTGAAAAAAGTAGAAGTCCCTCTATGCTGGAGGTCAATTGTTTTAATTAGCTAAATGGATTGTAATTTGGTGAGAGAAATGCCCAAGAACTTTTCTGTCATCAATGTTAGGGTTGGAAATGTCTGTCTCTTGTAATTTGGCCTGAAATGTATTTGCAATTTTATCACAAAATGTCCCTATGTTGAGTCAGTGTCCTCATGTTGGGCCTTATTTATTGATTTTTTTCTGGGAAAATAAGTGTCCCTATGTCAAATTGTCCACAGGTCAAGGCATCTGCATATGGGGGTCTCACTGTACAGGTTTTCTATAGAACCTTCAGTAATTTTCCAAAGAGTATTGCTTCAATAAATGGATTACTCTTTCAGAAAATTAATTTTGCTGCATCAATTTATTCAAATTTTAAGATTAGGTCAATATATTGTTCAAATTTTTAAACAAAATGATCATTATTATTTTTTTCTTCTTACAAATACAAGATCCTTGACAGAAATTATAATTCTACCCCAATGTTGTTGTTACAAAGAGAAAACTCAATAGGAAACAGCATTTTTGTTTCATCTTCAATGCTGGTGGATGGCAATTGGTGTCTTATTGAGGTTTTCTATGGAATTTAACATTGAGGAGATTTGTTTCATTCAAAATTTTTGTGGTTGCCAAGGGTGGTGCTAATTTGGGGGGTGTCTTAGCGGGGTTTGACTGTACTTTGAATGACATGCAAGCATTAAATGAAATCCCGTGAATCTTTGAAGCGCAAATTCATAGTCACATTTTTTCATGACTAAAAAAAATTAAAAATAAGGCCGCTGAAAATTACTTTTGTCAAACAGTGTGACTCACGGTTTTGCTGAACGATGAATAGTATCTCTCTGGGTGCTCAGCAAATTCCGCAGCATCAAAACGCCCTCCTTTATTCCTTTTGTAGTGATGCTTTCGACTCACTTGGCAACCATACAGTTTATTGTGTTCTGAATAAAAAAAAATATTAAACTCCTATTTGGTTTAAAAAAATTGTATTTTCAAATAAAAAAGAAGAAAATGTGACTCACGGCCTTGAGAGCAGACTTTCGGCAAAACCTCGGGTGGGACCATTTCAATGGGCAATTCCCGGAACATATCCTGGGCACCTTTGGACACATTTCCGGATCCGGTGAAGGTAAAAGTCAAAACTCCCAAAGACTTGGGCAAGTGTCCCAAGGAGATTTCGTAGCCTGCGTCTCGGACAGCGGCCCTCGCAATATCCGTGGTTCTGTAACTATGCGCGGGTCCAATGTGCTAAAAAGATCCAAAGAAAGATATTTCTCCTGGAATTTAATCTTTATAGGTAACAATGAGAACTCAGAGGAACCCAAAAAATATACTATTTAGGGATACTTTAAGTTAGGGAAGCCAGCTGCATTTTTCAGGCACAGGGAAAAAAAGAAGAATTGTGAGGGAACACAATATTGGTGATTTTGAACACAAAACTGCTTGGCTCTCTGGATTTTCAGAGTTCTAAAAATATGTGACAATAATTTATAGAGGAAATCGCAAAAAATTTAATATGTTCATTATTTTCACACACATCTTTTGGTCTCCAGAAGTCCAGTCAACTGATCAAAAAATGCCTTTAGCTCATGCTGATGGTTTCCCTAACAAAGCCTGTCATGATTACATCAAAGATGGACACAAATTATTCAGATATAAAAATGTATAAGTCCCTTCATTAAGGGGCAAACAAGTATTCTAGCTCAATCATCAATGATCACCAAGCAATTTCCCTTTGATGTTTTTAAACCTGCTGGAATGCCATGGAAAGCGAGGGCTTCTTTTGAATGAATTCTTTTATGATAAAAGAAAAAGTGGTTACAAATGAAGACTCAAGTTTTACTCACCATAAAAGGAGTGTGATGTCCAAGAGCAAGTAATCGCAGTCCCAGTCCATGCAAAATGTTCAACATCCCTGCCATACCAGCATACATACCAAATGCAACCACTCTTTGGCCAGTGTCATCCACCATCTTTTCATAATCAATGAGTCTGATATTCTGTGCAGGGAACAAGCATGTTTTTTGGTTCTTTTTGAAACCATGTCAATGTCTTTTCTTTCGAATCTCAACATATCCAAAATAAACAATTTGGTCATTAACCCTTGGATGGCAGAGGATTCCTGTCGCTGTCTAGCTGTGGCAATGCTTATTTTTTGTGGGGGGGGGGGGGGTTTTAGTTTGACCCAAGGTTACTGAAATGCCCCAGGTTGCCAAGGCAGCTGAGTCAGGAAAAATCCTGGTTCAGAAAATCCAATTGTCTCAAGAAATCCCCAATGCTGGGAATGCATAAAAAATGCCACCCAGGGAGGAACTTTTTTTAGCCAAATTTTCTGCAGGATTATAAAAAAATACAGGAATTTTTTCTTAATTAAGCCTCAGTTCAAAAATCATGTTTTTATATTTGCTGCTCTCATGGGGAAAACATTTTGCAAATTATACCAACATTGCCACACAAGGGTTAATACATTGTACATTGAAAGTCATTCATGCTAAAGCTTCAAATTTAAAATGATTCAAGCAATTGTGAATGCTCAGAAAATAATTTATAAATTAATGTTGCATAAAGATTTAAGAATTGGTCCTTGTTCAAAGTTTAATTTTGAGGGAATAATCTGAATTTGGTCAATTTGTAACCAAGAATTTATTTTCCAGTGGAACATTCAGTTTCATGACAAATATCTTGAGAAAAAAATAGCTGGGTTGCAAAAATGTGTGTGCCATTGTTGATTCAGCATACCCATGTAATGTCAGAAACATATAAGACAAATGCAGATAAAATTAAAATGGATTATCATTCCATTTTTTTGAACATAAAAATTCCCCTGATGCTTTAATTTTTGAACTTTCTGTGACAAAATTACTGAATCCTGGGGCTATATAATATCTTATGTAGGGAAACATATTTTCCAAAATTCTGGATGGAAAAGTGAGGTGAGCATATTATTGAATTTTTTTTAGCAAATACATATACTGGATACTATTTGCAATAAAGGTGTTCTGCAGAAAATATCATGTAAAAAAAGTTCCTGACCTTTTCCAGGAGTGCATCCAACATGGGCATGTTATCTTCTGACGCTTTGATGGTATGTGAAAAAAAGCAGTAAGTTTTGTCAGGAATCAGGGCATCGATGGGTACTTGCTTGACTCCAAGGATGACAGAAGCTTCTGAAATGTCCTCTTGAATGCAAGCTCTTGCATTTGCATATGCCTGTTTTACAACAGAGGAAATTTTTTGTCAAGCAATTTACAATTGATACATTAAATACTGGTAGTATGAAAATTATGCGCATCACAGTTCTTGATAACGCATCAAAAGAAAAATTACAACATTTGTTCACATCAGGCATGGAGCGGTTCATATATACTCAGGGGCTGTCTTGTCCTGGTCACCATGTGGCTTTGAATGCATTTTAAACATTAATTAAAAAATAAACTCCACCATGCATTCCACCTGCATGTCTTAGACTTTTTAAAAATGTCATATGATATGAATGAAAGCCTAGATTTCCAAATAGAAATATACAATTTGTACCAGCCCCTGCTGGTAACAATCACTGAAGTTTCATAGATTAAGGCATTATTTCTGACACATACCTGCGCTGGATAAGCTCTTCTGCTGGATGGTTGCACAAGAACTTTAACGCCATCTTTCACCAGTTGCCTGACATGATCTGGTGCCAAAGGGGCTCTTCTTTCCCACACACTCTGGTCTTCTCTTCTGATGGCCAGAACTTTTCCAGCAACATCCAGCCGGCGGGACTGCTGAGTGAATGAATTAAAAGGTTTAACTTGTTGCAAATGTGTGGGAACAAAGCTCCAATTTAAGCAGTGTACAGTCAACCCTGGCACAATGGACTAAATTCATGCAACAGACTAGTCTGTTGTGGGAAAAGTCTGTCATGCAAATTCAATTATTACAAAATTCACATTTTTGCTTTTTGCTATCAATCTTAAACCAAAAGAAGTCTGTTATGCAGATTTAGTCCATTGCCCAGGAGGGAAAACCACCTCTGGTCTGTTCTGCAAAAATCTGTTGTGCAGAAGGTCCATTGTGCAGGGGCCAAATATGTAATAGCACTGCTTGGCTTACTGCTAATGGTGTTTTCAGAATGAATTGCATCAGGGATGGAATATACAGTATATTTACAGAGCATCATATGAAAATTTGAACTATCAGCCAAAATAGGACCAAAGACATGTTCTAAATATGTAAAATGAAAGTTTTAAAATAATCTAGATTTGAAACTCTTCAGGAGTATCAGTATCAGCTATAAAATAATACCTCAGAAAAAGCTGCCATTCATTTGAGCAAGAATAAGTACAGTACAGGAATTAAGAGAATTGCCTGCAATCCTCTGTTTCCCACCCTAATAAATGCAAAATAATCAATGAAAATGATGCATTATTGATCTTATTGAGATAATTATTCAAGCCACAACATCAAAAGTCAAAAGAAAAGAAGTCAAATTATGGGCAGGAAACTGGACCTCAGAACATTGAGAATGCTGACCATTTTGATACTTGCACTCAGGATGAATAAGTTAAAATCAAGTATCATCATTGCTTTTATCTAAACTTCTTTATTCTATTGGGTAGGACCATCAAAAGAATGGCAGATTTGTGAAATCTTCTAGAGGATAAATCTTTTGCAAGGTTATAGAAGGACCTGTGAGGTTACCAATGTAAATCTACTACAAGCAATCCTTTCCACAACATAGGAGTACAGACATTTTTTTATGAATCTGGCCCCAAACATTATATCAGGAAAGGGGATCATGGAATCATATTTATTACTTGCCTGAAGTAATCTATGCATTGATGATTTCTAAGCCAAAATGCTTCAGATGAAGATAATAGGCACAATCTTGTCATATGAAGAACTTAGAAAAACCCTTATGAAAGTCTTTTTCTTGATCATTAAGAAAATGAATCAGTATCCATGGAAGGTCATGGGTTGAAATTCTCTCAAATGCAGAACAATATATGTAGACATCAGACAATTCAAAGATAAATGATTATGTAATGATTAAAGCAGCCTCAGAAGTTGTTATAAAATAAAATTAGATTATTCACCAAATGTTGAGATATTGTGCCTTGTGCAGGTTTTTGTCCAGATCAGAGAGGCTACATATTCTCCTTGAATTCATGTATTACAAAAAAATAGACAAAGGAGAGAAATGTGATAAAATGGAAAGGTAAATCATGATGGATTTTCTGCAGGAGAGGCACACATTATCAAACTTGCTACATTTTGGTAAGTCAATTTAAGAGAAAGGGTACCATAAATGCAAAGCAGACTCAGCAAACAAATGCTCCTGCTGATGAACTTGATACAATTCCTTCACTGGTTGAGAGTTACTAATCCATCTAGCAAACTTTGGCTGATGTGCGCAAAAAAATTCTCAAAGAAAAAACTGATAATTTTTCAATCTGGCTTACAAAAAAAACCTAGCAAGCACTCATCATGCTGGGACAATTATTTTTGTTAATCAAGACCCCAGAACTTAACAGTGGACATTATTATCACACAGAACTGAAATAGACTGAGACTAGAGATGGCAAGAAAAAGATAAAAATATTTTAGTTGAATTTTTTTCTAGCCAGCCACATGCTCTTCAGGTTTTTTTTTTTACCTTTGGACAGCAGAGGGTTCCTATAGCCTTACTGCAGCAAAGTTGGGGCTTTAGAAATAAGAAAATCTTTCAAGTTGAATTTTGTCACTTAGGAAAGTGCCCTCCTAAAAAGGTTGATATCATACAAAAAGTCAGCACATGGGGGCAACATTTCAGTTTGACCAAAGGTCACTGAAATGCACCCAGGTTGGGAAGACCTAAATTGGGTGAAATCCAGAAAGTGTGAATCCTTTCGTATTCTAGAATCTCTAATGCTTATCCTATGCAAGGAATTCCTGAAAAAAAGCCCCCTACATATAGTGATGAATTTTTTCTATTTTTGAGGAAATTTTTTCTGAACAATTATAAAAATATATATTGGGAGCATTCCAGAATAATATTATATCCTTTTGGCACAGATAGTCACAACACAGAAATAAAAAGTGAGAATCTTGATAAACAAAAAAGAAAAAATCCATTTCCTTCCTCAATCTATACCAATCAAGCATATACAAGAACAATCAAATCATTGCACAAACAGCCATTTCTCAATGCTGCCAAAAAATTCCCTCAGTTCAATCAACTGGCACTATATCAAGACCAAATGCGGTTTTCAATAGCACTTCAATCGTTGGAAAAGCCAAACTGCCGACTAAGGTTTCATCCATTCGCGTTCATTCAAAATAATCTTTCAGGAAAAATTCAGAAAATTACGGGACAAAATATCCGCTATTAAACATTAGAGAACTGCATCTCGGAATTTTTCGTTCAGTACATAGAAGATTTTTTGACAGTAACTTCAAATCTATCCAAACATTTTCCCTAAAAAAAAACAGACGCTAATTACGTTGGAAAAAAAATTGAGAATTCAATATTCGAGACATGAGCATCATTTAGGAGGCGTCAGAATAAGGCATAACAAAACAATTATCGACGAAATTGTTCATTGTGAATATGAATTTTTTTTTTTCATAATTCCTCGTCTGAACCACGGTTTTCAGGAAGGCCTGTCAACTTGATGTCAATCGATTTCCATCACTGGATTATGTCTTGTTCTGAAGAGTCGTAGGGCCAAATGCCTTCTTGATTCAGCCGCGTCAACATTGGCCGGTAAATGTCCGGGGTAAATGGCAACACGTTCCCTTTGCCCTGGATTTCACCTGTTGAAAAACAAATATCATTCCATCAGCTGATCTAAGATTCTGGAGAAGTGCAAGACCATTCAACTGTAAGAGTTGTGACGCACTTGAGGTATATACCATATTTACTTGAGTACCATGCGCACCTTTTTTCTCAAATTTCAGAAGAAAAAAAGGGGTGCACGTCATAAGTGGGTACAAAAATTTCAAGAAGTTTTAGGAAGTTAGGTGTGCATTATACTCAATTATAATGGAGAAATTTGGAACAAATATAAGAATAAAACATTTTTGTACTGAAAAAGTTGCAAATGTTCAATTCATGCCTAAAGTCAAATTTTTTGTTTTTATTTTTTGTAATTGTATGGTTTTAGATTCACTAAAAATTGGGGTGCGCATCATACTCAGGGATAAGATTTTTGCAAAATTTTCAACTGAAAAACCGCTGTGCGCGCCTTACTCAAGGGCGCATGGTGTCGCGAATATTTTAACGGATACATTAAATTAGACACGCTAGCTTTGGAGAACCCGAATTCCCCGACGAATTTAG